ACCCAAACCATTCTATGATTCTGTGAAAACTAATGGATCTGTGAGGCATGAATTGCCTCTGCAAAAGCTGTATTGCCTCTTCTTCCTCTGTCCATGAACTGCTCCAGTGCAAGCAGCAGAGTTGAGGATAAAGGCAGGGACCTAAGGTGAGTGAGCAGCAAGGGATCAGAGTTATGCCTTCTGACTTGGTGACAACGCTGGCAGGAGGTTCAGGAGGATGGGAACGTTCACTGTAATACAGATGCAGCATGGGAGTAATGCCAGCTACCAGCACCACACCACACCAAAGCACCAGGCTCTAACCCACACCCCCTTGCATGGTACGGATGTGTCCTGCACCCATAAATGCCCAGCTTTACTGTGCTTGACTACTTCAGAGGTCTATCTTACAGAGAAGAAAGCAACCAGCAATTTCATGGGTATCCTCCCACTGCTGGCACAGGTCAGGAAAGCAGCTCAGCCATGAAGCCTGCAGCACAAGGTCTGCAGATCAGCAGTGAGCAAAACGCACCAGCTGACAGCCTTACATTCCGCACTGCAGAGAGCGAGAGGTTACACAGACATGCCAGCTCTGCTGAGTCCACGAGGGGAAACACCAGCCAGCCATCGCTGCTCCTCGGGGCCCATGCTGACAAGATGCCAACACATAGACCGCTCTACCTTGTGTCTTCAATTTAGGAACTCCTCTTCTCCCACCCCTGCCAGGTTCATGCCAGCAGGGACATGTCAGCTACAATGGGGCCAGAAAAATCCCTGCTGTCATTTACAGACCTACTGTGGCCTCCTTGTACTCTTCAGGACAGGCACTCAGCAAAGAATCTGGCCTCAGCCACACAGGGAGAAGACTTACTAGAAAAAAGTGACGATAATCAAATATGCTACAAAGGGGGAAACCTGCCACTGAAGTCTCCGGACAGAGCCTGGGAACACACTCGAGTCACCACCACCCTGGGAGAGCGCAGCAGTGCTGGGCTCAGCACCCCACAGCCCCGTGTGACGAGCAGTCACTGGGACTGATGCTGCAGAGGGGGCTGACAACAGCAGACCCCCTCCCAGTGCTGCTCACTAGCTCTTCCCATGGCCAGTGCTTGCCCCACTAAGCTGGAGACAGCAATTTGTTCCAGCTGAAGCTAACTCAGTCTGTGTCACTGCAAACACCCATTTTCTGCCTCTACTATTGCCTTCAAAGACACTCTCCAAAAAGAGATAAACGGAAGAAAAAAAAAAAAGGAAGCCACTATTTTCCTAATGTTCTTTCTAAGGAACACTGGCTCCCAGCATCTGTGATACTGCCTGGGTAAATCTGAGCTAAGCGGGGTCACTGCCAACTGCAAACCCTGTCACATGCAATTAGAGGGGACCTCGCTCAACTGACAGCCCACCAGAGTCGAGAGGCTTTTCCCCAGCTGAGCAGGAGGCTGATGCGTGCACTCTGCAAAGCTGCCATTGGTGCTGGTGGTACTCACAGTACTCGATGCCCAAGACGATGTCTCGGAAGTAGAGCCGAGCCTGCTCCTCGCTGAAGGGCTGGTCACTTGGTACCTCCATGACAGGCCTGTTAGGAAGAGGGAGAGTAACTAAGTACTTTGCAGTAACCCTCCTTGCTGGAGGGGTTTCAGGTTCTCCATCACTATGTCCCCAGCGTTGAGGGCCAGTGTCCCAAGAGGTTCTGGGTGCCATGACGCAGGACAGAAGCACAACCACCCACACTTTCTGGATGTGGTGATACCTGGGTTAGTGAGCTTGGCTAGTGGTGATGGGTGGCTTTGCTCAGTCCCTGAGCCAGCGTGAGCCACAGAGCCCTCACCAACACCAGGATTAACTGCTGCTGTCTACAGAAAATAGGACAAACACTTCATTCACAGAGAGTCCTAGTGGGAAAAGTGCAGTGAAAGAACAAAACTGGATCTGGCCTTTGGTTTCTTGCTGAAGCTGCTCACAGCAGTGAGCACCAACATCACCAGCAGATACCAGGCAGCAGTGGGGTGCAAAGAGTGCCCTTTGCTGTGCGCTGGATGTCACGCCTGCTGGGACTCAGTCCTGAAGCAACATCAGTGTACAGCTAGTCTAAACCAAGGCAGAATCTAGACATGAACCACTGGCTCAAAGATTAAGTGGGAATATTTCCAGTACATTGTGCTAAACTACTTTGAAAACCTATTTAACTGTTCAGCCACCACCAGAACTCAGCCATTCAGCCCTAAACAGCCAAGGTTACCTGGTCAGCTTCTCCTCTCCTTTCCTTTGTATGCCGCCACTGCTGAGAGATGTACAGTATCCTTTAAAAGCCCCTCTTCTGCCTGTGCCTGCTGAAAGCTGAGGGCAAAGAGGCTGTAAGAGCTAGTCAGCATCTTCTGTTCCTCAGCGGATGAATGGCACAAGCTAAAGACTTCACTGCACTGGGGGTTAATCCTGCTTGTGCTCAGCAGCTTGACCTTGCATTTGGACATACGCTCACTGACTCGAGTTGGATTTAAGGGAGTGCTCCTGAGACACTGTCCTTGCAAGCCAAACCCTGGTGGAGTTTGGCTTGCAACCATCACCAGGCTCTGCAGCTCTTCCCCTCAGCACCCAGCAGCAAACCCTTCCTGCATCATTTCTCTCTTCTCCCTTGCTGCCAACTTGATCGATGACCTCCTTCTCCCATTTGCATTTTTCTGCCACTGCCTTCCCTCCCTCTTCATGCACATTTTTCTGCTGCTGAAACCAGGGAGAAATAATGTGAGCAGCAGGACTGGCAGAGCCACTAATGGAGTCTAATTGCCTTCTGCTAGAGGCAGACAGGCTGCACTGGACAAGCTGCACGTTCCCTGGCCACAGCTGATTACAGGAGGTTTTTTTTTCCTCCCCCTCTCCTACAGGATAGTCATCAGTCTGGTCACCAGGGAGACTGGGGAGCCTCTCACCAGCAACCTGCTGGAGCTGGCAGCTAGCAAGAGGCTTGTTCATGGGGCCAGAGAGAAAATAAGCCCTTTGGGAATCTCCCCCCCCATCCTGGGCACAGCTCTCTTGACATCACTGTGACTCTGCAGAATCAGTCCAGGTGTAACAAAAAGCAATGAGGAGTTTCCCACCACCTTATCACTTCTCCTGCTACAGAAAAATACAGCAACAAAACAGCCTCCCACAATATGTTAGTGCTAGGGGTAAAATAAGGCAGCGGGTGGCAAGTAAATGTTGATGCAACCTCACACTCCTTGTGCCAGAGGAAGCCACAATGTGTCTGTTACCCCAGCAGAGTATTTCTATTAAAACCTTTTTTTCCCAGGAACTTGATGGGGAATTGGCATCAAATTTGTTTTTTGGATCAAAGCCTGACACCAGGACATGTCCTCCCAGCCCATTACTATCCACCACATCATTCCAGGCTGTAACAGCGCAAAGGCAACTACAGCCAGATTTTGCCTCCTCTGCACTTGCCAGCAGGCAGTGGTTTGCCCCACTGTACATATCAAACCTCTATTTCATGTAGGAAGCTAATGATGAACACCAAAAATTTCAACACAAGGGGTCCCAGGAAGGCTACTTACCCTTTCCTCAGGAGGTCAAACACTGCAAGAGAAGGAAATCAAACCATGAATGAATCAGAAGAGGAGACTAGTCTTATTCATTTTTTAGCACCTACAAAAACACATCCATTCTCATACCTGCAAAAGCAATTTATCTCCACTCACTTCTCTTCTCTCACCCATGACAAGGGCCCCAGAGGATGCAAAATGAAAATATTCATCTCTTCAGCAAAGACAAATATCCCCACCTCCCGCCAGCTCCACAAAGAAGACAGCAGGTGCTAATTTATCAACCACATTGCTGCTGCTCCTGGTGTCAGCCCTTGCTGATTTGAGCCCCATGTACCTTCAAGGGAGGGTGTTTGGTGTGATATTTCTGCTAAATTGCTGGTATTGAATGAGATGCTGTAAGAACATGCTGCTCCATTTCTGCTGCGTCAATCAGCAGCACAGCTACATGGCTGTTGGAGGTAAATGCTCCCTGGCAGGAGGAACTGGGGAGGACTGGTTGGAGTGAGCTGAGTTTTGTAGAGCACCTGAGGTTTTGTGTCTGATTAGGGGGTTAAATGGGGGCTTGCCTCAGCATGGGTTAGTGGCAATGTGTTTTTCTGATCCTGTCTTTGACCTGTTCCACAAACAGAAGGATCTGCAGTAGAAGAGCTCTTTCCTCATGAATTACTAAGGGATTTCTTGCACCTCCCAAGAAATCTGAGCAGATTGCCCTCCCCAAAGCACCAAGCAGCCCAGCTTACAGCTGCGATGTTAGACCAGCTGAAGCTACAAACACAAGCCAGCGTGCATCGGCTCATCTTGCTCTCCGAGCTGAAGAAGCTGCAGCTTGTGGCAGAACTTCGTTACTCAACCATCTTGTGCCATTGCAGGTTGCTCATCTGCTATCAGCACCCTCCATCCCCTGCTTCCTTCCCAATGAGCACACAGCAGAGAGCACTCACAGCTGTACTTAATGCCAGCAGTAATTAGCAAAAAGCAAACTCCACTTTCTCTAGTTTTGCTTTGTAGTGGAGGGCATTTCTGGCAGGATAAGTGTGCAGTTATCAGCTGGGTCAGCAGCAGGAGGGAGGAAACCTACTCACAGAAGGCTCAGTCCTGAGCACCCACAGCCTCTCCTTGCTGCCAAGGGAACTGCAGGCAGGAGCCTGACTTTCCTGCATCCTTCTGAACCACTCACAGATCCCAGGTAAAGCCAGGGGAGCAAAGAGGTGATGAGGCATGGACAACACAGCCACAGCCACTGCTCACTGCCCAGGGACCAGTGCAACCTCCCCAAGACCCCCAGTGGGACCAAGAGATTTCCCACTTGTCCTGCTGCTATGACTGCCATTCTGTTATCGTGCTCCACAGGGAGAGATTGTTTTGGGTTTTTTCCCCTGCAGCTTTTTTGACTTCCTCATGCATTTACTTTATTCAACAAAAAAAGCTTGCTACCTGATCTCTGCCCTCCTCTCCATCCCCAGGAGTTCAGGCCTTTAAAGAATGGCCTCAGCCGCCCTACCCACCACACGTGCATCTGCCTTTGCTGCCGCTTCATGATGCTGTCAGAGTGCCACTGGGGCTTCAGCCAAAAGGGAAAAGTGGCCTTTCAAAGGCAAATAGCTTCATTTGCTAGGCAGAGCCCCCTTCACAAGCAGCTTCAAAAGCATGCCATAATTATTTCATGAAGAAGCAGCCTTTGAGCCTGTCTCATCAGGAAATGTTACGGGGAAGCAGAGATGTAATGGGGTCGGACATCCCCCTCCTCTGGCCCATCTCAGAGGCACCTCAGTGCCTCCCAGGCCTGTCCCTCCAGATTTTACCCAAATCAGGGTTAGGCTGTGGCTGACACTTCCAAGATTTGGGGGAGAGGAAGAAAAAAGGGTGGAAATTCCCCTCTCTCTGCATAAATGCAGGGTCAGCTATGGTCTCCCATCTGTGCCCCTATGGCAGGGACCGGGCTCAGAGGCCAAGGCAGGAGTGCTGCTATCTGAGGAGGTCCTGAGGCTCAGCAGGGGTCACAGGGAACACCTCATGACAAGGATATTTCCAGCGTCACTGCCGCTATCCACAGCCTACAGGAGGAGTCTGGAGAGACCAACCTCATACCAGGAGGATGAGAAACCATTCTGCACCCTTCCCTTCTCTCCTGGCTCTAGGACTGGAACCAACATATACACAGGGGAGGTCAGAGCCACTGTCATGTCTTTTTAGTGTCCCCATGGGCAAGGGGATGTGCACAGCTGTACTAAGACACAAGGCTGCCTTACCTTGCTGCAAGGGGCCCTTCCATCCCAGCTGCCTTTACAGGCGTTTAAAATTTTTCAGAAAAAGTAAGTCTGCTGAAGTTGGTACAAGTTTCCTCCTGGTATTGACCCCGAGCCCTGGTACGTGTTACGTGTATCAATAGGTCTAAGCCTAGACAGTTCTGTTAGCATATGACGACTCACCCATGTACAAGTTGTCCTCTGCAGGATCATCAAGAACCTGTAATTGATAACAGAGAGATAAGGGGAAAGAGGAAAAAAAGAGAAAAACAGCAGGAAAAAAAAAAGATTTTTAATCAAATAACATTTTACTGCTCCCTGTACACTGTGCTGAGCTGCAGAGCATTGAGAATGACTTAGGCTAATATTTAGAGATTCCTGCAGAGAGAGAGGCTTTGAAGGACACGGATTTTCCCGTCTCCAGAAAAATCTGGGCTTCTGCCTGTATTTGGAGAAACAGTCTACCAATAAAGGCGCTGCTTGTCCTGATCTGACCTCAGCCAATATTGAAAATGGCACCGAAGCCTTGCACTTGTGCACTTTCCCAGGCTTGTCTATGCACAAGTGTACACTGGTCAAAGCTTGCTTCTGTTCCTACCAGAACAGCCAGCTGCCTTCTCTTGGGCACCAGCCCAAAGCCCAGGGTATGTCAGTTTGACATACATAGTTGGTATGATCTTGCTTGGAAGCATCAGCCTAAATTTCTGAACAACTATTTTAAACCACTTTTGGCTGAAATAGGAGCAGTTGAAGAAAGATTCTTTTGTTGCAATACAAACCAGACTTGTTTCAGTACAGCTTAGGGTAGGAAAGCAGCTCACCTCTATCAGCTTAACGATGTTGATATGGTCCAGTTTCTTTAAGATGGCTATTTCCTGATAGACTCTGTCCAGTGGTGCCATGGGTTTTGGCTGCTCTCCGGAGGATGCTTTCGACCCTCTGGGAGGAGGCCGACCTGCAATCATGATAATACGGTGAGAGAAAACTCATTTTCAGCAGTGCCCAGCACGCAGGAGTGAGCAGCCACTGGCCCCTCTGCAGAATGCCTCCAGCTATTCTGGAAGATCTCATCACCTTGTCATCCCAAAGCATTACAGTCTCCACCCGGAACTCCAGGAGATCTCCAAGCCCCGTTCAGACCAGCTCCTGCTGGCTTCCCAGCATGGTCTGTTTGCCAGGTCCCATGGCCCAGCCACTGGAGGCAGGAGCTATCTGAGGGGGCAGAAGAACCCCTGGGAGGAGGCGGTCTACCCTGCCTAACTTCCAGCACTTAATTAGACTTTATAGATGATGAACATGGAAGAGTCAGCACTTCAAAGAGACTCAGAAAATCAAAGCCAGTAACCTGATTACCAAGTGCGCTGAATTTCGCTGTGGTTGTCCCTGCCCTTTCACTACCCACTGCGTTTTAACCAGTCCCCAACTACTTGAGCAGCTTTTGCATGAGGCCAAGTTCCGCAGTCCTTGCCAATAATGTTTCTACAGAGAGATTTGCCTGGCTGAGGACAACAGGTAGACCTCTAAATGTAAGATACCCACGTGGAAATCCATACTGCTTCAAGAGCTTCTTTTTGGAGAGGACTTTCATAGCCTGAAGGAAGAAGAAAAAGCAGTGTTAAAACTGAATGAGAGCCAGAGTGCTCAATGCTGTGACTCAGGAGTATGCGGGGCATCAGGTCTGTTCCTCCATCTAGAGAAGTTATCTCCTGGTTAGTGGTGACCACAACAGGCACACACATGCGCTGACCCAGGCTTTCCTAAAGGCATTGTTAATCATTTGTTGCACTCCTCTTTTTCCCCATGAGAAAATAAGTGGGTTTGATTTATTTTAAATTGGACAAATGAAAAGGACCTCAATTTCTGCATTTGGGGCAGGAGCTTGAGGGAAGAGGTGGGTTCCTCTAGCTGCCCTTTATGTACCTGCTGATTTGGATGATGCTGTGGCCATGCTGCAAGTCAGAGCTGCTTCCAGGCTGCTCCACCTTTACTTTCCCAGAGAGTCTAGGAAGGCAAAGAGCTGGAGTGTCACTGCCATACAACTAATACCCTTTCAACCTATGTCACAGACCTGGAACACAGTGAGGACATAGCCCTTCCAGCAGCTCTGCACTGCCTTTTGTATTCTCAGAGACTACTTTTGCCCCATAAACCTCTTCCCTGCTGCCAGAGCAATACAGAGGACCTGCAGCGTGATCCAGCACCATGCCCAAGACCATGAGCGAGATACTTCATGGGCATCCATCCCCACACCATCAGAAATGGTGGAGCCAGCTCTGTGCAGGAGCACGACAAAGGCACAGGGAGGGAAGTGGGTTTTTGCAATGGTGTCCTTCCCTTCTCGTACCTGATATATGCTGCATTGTTGCAAACACAGGCAGCTGAGGCATGGGAGGGGGTCACGGTAATTTTTTCCACCAGCCAAATGGCATTAGCATAATGGCAAATGGCAATCTGAATTTAATAAGCAGTCTCTGAGCCTCCATATGCTCTGTGCATTAATAACCTTTCTGAGGGCCACTCAAACAGCCCCGAGTGGCCCAGCAGATAAATATTTCATGAGAAACCAGCTCACAGTACAATTTACTTAGGAAAACAGTCTATGCCCCCAGGGCTGGGATGGTCACTCACTCCTTCCCTTAGAATGGGTAGTTACTCCTATTAATTAAGCATCCAAATCTGTATTCACACTGGACTGACCCCTGTGAAATATAATTAACCAAGGACTCCCGTCGGACACAGTCAAATGCCAACGAATTTTACAGTAGTACTATGGAAGCAGGCTCTGCACACTACCCATCTTTAGCAAGTACACCAAGAACGGGTCACCAAAACCGTTTCGGCGAGCTCCTTCCCAAGCTGTTTTTCCTGGCAGCAGTGCCACCATGCGCCCCAGGATCCCCATCTCCCATCAGTGCTCCCACTGCAGCCAGGTTCATGGCTCACTGAAAGCATTGTTATTTTTGGTACTGATCCAGTGAAATCCTCTGGATTTGCACCTATGTAATTGAGAAGAGACACTGTGTAGTTCGCAATCCTGCCTGACAGCTCCTGAGCCAACTGTTGGAAACGATGGTGTTGAGAGACAGACTCAGAAGTGCTTATCTTTTACTTAGCACAGTGTGGTGTCCAATACAGACAGCCAAATGATTCATGGTTTGCTGAAAGATGATCCAAGATGTGCGCAACCATCTCCAAGGATAGCCAGGACCAAGCCTGGAGGACTACTTACATGCCTCGTTTTTATCTTCTCATAATGAAAATTTATGGGGGCAGGGGGAATCAAAGGAATTCATACACCTGTTTTTCTTTCAACCAGTGCCAGGAGAAGGCTCCCCTTACTCCATTCCCACCCTGAGTCATCTCTGCCTTCGGACAAGGAGCTTTAGAAAGAGAAGAAATAGAAGATGCAATTTGCTGCTGAAAGCCCCAAGTGGCATGGGGAACCCAGCCTAAGGAACCAAACCATCACCACAGGCCATGCCTACATCAGGCTAGTCCTTCCCAGGACAGGGTCTATGGAGAGGCTGGAGGGAGCGGGAAGGTACAGAGGGGAGCAATAACAAAGATATGAATTGCTCTCAGGGACAGAAATGGAGGGAACAAGAGCTACTGCTTTCACCCAATCTCCTTGAAGGATGCTACGAGGGGCGACGGGAAAATGAGTATACCTACTGTATCATAGGTGAGCTGACCGTAAACTGCCTCTCCTGCCACGGAAGAAGCACCAGGACACGCTTACACCAGCTTCAAAGCACTGGTATCTGCTACTACACAAAAGGGCTGGATCAGAAGACAGGACCTGTCCCACTGCACTTTCAAATGCAAACAGGGGTACAAAGAGCAAACTTCATCACGCAATGGGTCAGAGCCACTTAATTATCACAAGAACAGAGATGAGAGCCCATAGTGGTGAAGCCTTACTTTAATTACAGCCGAGAGCTGGCAGGACAAGGCTTCCTCGTCGAATTGTAGCTGCACATAATGGGGGCAACACAGGGATGCCTCAGCAAACCTCTCCTTCCGGGCTCGCATGCATGAAAGAGCCAAAGACAGTTGTACTCGCAGGCAGAGCTAATTACCCAGATAATGCCTTTCTGATAAAGAACCAGCTCAGAGCCAAGCCAAGGGATTTTTCCTTTGCACTGGCAAGCATTGCTTCAGCTTCCTCAGGAAAAAAGGGAGCCTGGAAGAGATTTCCTCTACACATGCCCTTCCACCCACCTTCCTTCTGACTATTCACACATGGACATGGGTTGCGACATTTTCCTTTGAGAGGCAGCGGGAACTCTGTGCTTTCCTTTGATGTGTATTTACTAAGTTTACTGCTCTCCTTGTAGCAACCTTGCAGCTGGAAGCCACAGGGAAGCTGCTTCGTGAGGATGCCAGAGGGAAAGCAAATCCCAGGTTTACGGAGAGGAGGGATGCCTGGGACACAACAGCATTCACAACAGCGAGACCTTGAACCTGCATCCTGTTGCTAGTAATAACAACAGCAAAATGGCTGTTATTTGGGGGAGGGAAAGGTGATAAAGTGGATTGAGCTAATGGAACTTATCACCTGTCCCTTGTGATGTTCTCACAGCACTTAGGATGTCATTTTATTTGTTAACAGAGACACTTGCATTGCAACAGCAGAAGACCTGTGCACAGTCCCTACCTGCAGCTCCCAGGGAAGTGGGATGTTGCTCAAAGGTCACTACTATCCACCTAAATCCTCTGCTAGCATGTGACAGCACCCTGCAGGAGTGCTGAGTGGACCAGAGAGCATTTCCAGCCCTTCCTCACCTGTCCTGTCTGAACAACAGCATTCCTCAGACAAAGTGGCTCAGAGGGAAACTGTGCCAGGAGAGAGGAGTGCTACGCACTGAGAGAAAAGCCTAAACCAGACAGGTTTAGCTGCCAGGCCACCAAAATCCCACTCCTGCATTTGTCACCTTCTGTCCCAGACACCACTTGTCACATCAGCAGCTGAATTACATTGCAGGCTGTGCCTCATCCACACCACAATGCCCCAGGCTGGCAACACCGCAGCCAGGATGCCTTCCTGGAGTGGCCACGCTCGCCTGCCTCCAGCCATCTCCCAGAGACTCCTGCTCTTACCCCAGGTGACCCAGCTCCTCACGACCCCACTGCTGACCCACCCGGGGTGTTAAAGCAAACCAGAGATCATTTCGCTGGTCCTCTCTGCGCTGGAGTGCAGCTGGCAGTGGTTCAGTAGCTGTTACATGAACAAGAGGACAAGAAACACAGGAGCCATGCTTTCCCTTTCCACCTGGGTGGCAACCAAAGTGGATTCACCAGGGGCTAATAAGGTTCGAGGCTTGCAGCTGGCCACCTTTCCCTCAGTAGCTATACTTCATTCAGCCATCTCTTTTCATAAACTTGGAAGGAATTTCTCCCCATCATTGAGAGCTGGTAGAAAACAGCCCTCCATGCAAAGGTTGTTAGGTACAAACAGAGGCAGAGAGTATAATCACACAAATCTTGTTTCTTAGGAAACCAGATTAAAAAAGAAAAAAAAAAAAGAAACCCATTGACAACCTACAATGCTATTGCTTTTGTCCAGAAGTAGCATAACAAATGTCCATCATAACCACTTTTCTTTGCAAGCTGATTTAGAGATTGAAAAAAGGAAGGAGACATGACCCGAGGCATCACAGAATCAAATTCCATCAACGCAATGACTCCAAACTAGATCTCCCATCTGGACACATTTGCCTTTGCTTTTTATTTGCTACTTTTTCACAGAGCTTGCCTCCCCTGCCCGCCCCCCCCCACCCCCGTCACTGTCAAAGCATCTCCTGCAAGTTGAGACACTGAAACCTTTCCTGCTGTAAAGGGTTCCTAAGCAGAGCCCCACGAATGATGCTATAACACGTTCACATGCCCCGCCAGGGACCGAGCGCAGTGGCAGGGACCTCTGCTCTGGGAGCCAGCTCCGCATCCTGACAAGGTCTCCTCCTTGGAGGGAGCACCAAGTCACATACTTGGTGCTGAAAGTTCAAATTCCTCAGTCTAACACATCCCCTGTATCCGCTGGCGTAAGTCGGCACGCTGTCACAGCCCTCCACAGCACTGCAATGAAGGATAAACATCTTGGAAGCACTCGCTCATCTTTAATAGAAGGTAAAAAAACCCACAAAGTAAGTACAACCCATCTACATTTTTCCCAAATGTGGTGATCAGCTCTTTTTCTTGAGAGTTTTTCCTAATTCTAGGCCAGATCCAAAACTCATTAAAGCAATAGAAATCTTTCCTTTTGCTTTGACAGGAGCTAGATACAGTTCCCGGTACCTATAAACTCTGCCTTTACAAAGAGAACTAGCCAAGGGCTCCATGCCTCAGCAAGAATCAGGAGTCACACTCTGAATTACACTCCAAAATAAAAATGCTCTGCTTTCTTTAAAGTTTTGCTCCTTCTTATTGTAGCACACTAGCTTAAATAAAGCAGGCAGCAGCACCCTGGTCTCATGCTAAAACATTGCACATGTGAATTGGTTATTAAGGGCTGTTCACCATGGGCTGATTTCCTACAATTATCTGTTATAGTTTTTTACAACTAAGAAACAAAACAACCTTCCAGAGCTAAATTTGGGGAAAAACAAACACACAGTTGGGTCCTCCCCAGCTGTCAGAATTGCAATTGCTTCTACTAACTGCTGCTAACAGGCAGTTGCATTAGGTACCCCCCCAGGGGATCGGGGTGCATTGCTGCAACGCGGCCTCAGATGGGAGCGATAAGCAGGGTAGCACGGAAGTTATCTCAACGCTAGGAGAGCATGTGGGTCAGACACACGGGAGGGTGTGGGGAGCTAAGCAACCATCAGGCAGTTATGCAATTTACTGCTATTTCTCTGAAGCTTTAAAAGGTCTGCCAGCTCTTGGGCTGTTTTAGCATCTTGGAAAAGTGGAGGTGTCTCCATTGTGGCTTGCTCTCCTGGAAAACACAAACACGGGCACCTGGAAGGATTAGGGGTGACAGCCTGTCTGCTTGTGATGGCAGCTGGGGAATAGTAAAAGCTCCCGCTGCCCCAGCTGAAAGGGTAGCAAGCACATGAAACAGACTTCAGCATCGCAGCCTTTTGGCAGCGGTGCAGGCATCTGCCCTCTCCTCTCCCATATGCGGACATTCACTGCACTAAAGCACAGGTGGGCACTGCCAATGCTCTCACTCTGATCCCATCTCTCCATCCGCTGAAGCACTCCACAAATCTCCCACCATCAGCTTCACGGGGTTGCTGCTGAGATCTGGTTCAGACCCTGCCGCAAACCCCACAACAGGAGGATTGGGGTGAACCAAAGAGTGTGCCCCTGCAATGCTGGCGGTAAGGGAGTCTGCACAGCCCATCCCTCTTCGGGTAGCGAGGATGAAACAGAAGTGCCCAGGCATGGGCCGCTCTCAGGCTGCAGTAGCTTTAACGTGTTTGCTTAGATTAGAAAAAGAAATGGAGATTAAGTGGGGATTACTAACACATAACAGGCTAACCTGGACACAGGCTTTCACTTTTGGCTTTGATTTGACCAGCTAAATCTATGTCCCTGGTGTTATTCTACATCCAAAACATGGACAAGAAAACAGTAGGCAATGCTAACCCAAACCCACCTCTCCTCTGCAAAGCTGTGACAACTGCCCTGCCCGCCCTTGGGCGGCCCACAGCACAGCGTTGGGACTCCCAGCACCAAAAGGGCAGCACCAAAACATAGATTACAATTTTCAAAGAAAAACATTTTCAGCTGGAAACAAAACATGATGTGATGTGTTCCCCGCTGTGCACCATGCAGGTCCTGGCACTGCCAACGCTGGCGGGACAGAAGGATCAGGGAAGCCAGAGCACACTCTGCAGAACAAAACCACCCTGCTGCAGGGCAGCAGCAGGAGCACTAGGAGGGCAGCAGAGAAAGGGAGCAGCCATCGGAAACAGCAACCACTCCAGTGTGGCGGGTGAGTCAGCTTGGAAAGCACAGGGGATGGAAAGAATTGTGGTTCCTTTGCTTGGCCACTTCCAGGGCACCTTGTCCAGATTTTGTCTCATCTCTTCCACCCTTTATTTCAAGACATTTCTCCTGTAATTTTCATGCCCATTGGAAGCACAGAAGGGCTAACAAATACTAACAGGCAACTCCCACCTGGTCTCTCCAACCTGGCATGTCACTTTTACATCCAAGAGTCAAGGGGGAAAAGCTAGCCAGGGAGTAGCAGGAAATGAGCATGCTTTACATCTCCATGGCATACTCTTATTCCCCTTTGTGCCAAGACCAATAGCTCTGTGCACTGGGACAAGGAGCAGCACAAGAGTCTGCCCAAGTGCTCTGACGGGCCCATTTTCACCCATGTGACGCCACTCCATCATGGCAGCAAAAGCAGGACTCCTCTCACCAAACACAGCACGGCGCAGCAGCTGAAGTGCAAGGCCAGACCGGCAGGGCTGCATCGAGGGCAGCTGGGTTCAGGTTCAACAGCACTGCAACAACCCAGCTCTGCTCAGGAGATACCTGCCCTGGGATCCACCAGAAACTCTGCTCAAAACTGTTTCCACAAGCCTTCAGGCACACACAAGGCAGTTCTTTTGCCAGCTGTCCAGCTCCTGCTCTCAGCTTGAGCAAAACGTGCCACAGGGCAAGCCCAGGGACACAGGCACATCCGCAGACAGATTTTGCGGGAATCTCAGCTGGGATGGTTAGGATTCACCTGGCTCTGGAAGGGGAGGGACAGAGAAGGAGCCTTTGGCATAAGCAGCCTTTTTTAATCTGAAACCCTTCTAACTCTGGCTTCAGCTCAGCAAAAGATTTAAAAGCCAAGGTTTGCCTTCTGCCCCGCACCCTACACCTCTCAACCTGACAGCAAGGTCCTGTTCGGTGTATGGGGAGGCATCCTGCAAGGGGGTAAGATGCAGCAGAGCCAGGCACTGCCCAGCTGGGCCACACTGTTCAGCATCTTTCTGATAAACGCCTCTGTTTCCTTACAAAACACGCCTGCTTGTTCCAGACCAAGCTTCCAATGCACAGCAGGTGCTGAATACCACCACCCACATGCCTCTAATTTCAGGTGACCTGCTTCATAGCTAGAAAATGTCAAGACAAATCAGCAATACGCTTCTGCAGCCTGCCTCCAAGATCCCCGCCTGTTACATAAGGCAGCCCACCTGATTTCCCCCCCGCTCAGCGCCGCACGCAAACGGGCAGCAGCGTGGTGCTCCATGCCCGGAGGGGAGGTTTAGACTCTTTTCATGCCACCCAAATCAGAAACGTATATGCTAAAAGCAGCAAGGCAGGGAGGACCTAGCTCTCAGGGGTGCAAAAGGGAACAAGGAGCAGGCAGCAGTGGCAGCGAGGAACAGAGGAGAGACACACTTACATAATACTTGTCATCGTTCTCATTGTAGGCCAGTTTCACAACACCGTAGGAACCCTAAAAATAAAAACAAATTGCACAGTCAGTTCAGCAGCTTCACTTTGTCTCCTTGCTGTTCAAGGCTGGCCTTGAACAGGCGAAAAAAACCCTCCAAGGCTCTACACCGTGCCTAGCCCCGAGCAAAGTCTGCAGGTGACATGACCCCGCTGCGAGGTCGTACGTTTTGGGCAGCTCTGTTGTAGCCATGGGACTTCTGAGGATTAACAATGTCTGAAGGAGCCAAACCCACTGTGTCTTTCTTAAATGTGGGTGGGACGAAGAGAATAATTTTCAAGTGGATTTTTTTGTGCAAGTTTGGAAATTCTGCATGGACACCTTTCCTATACTTGTGTGCAAGACTACCTTC